ACTGTATGGGGTTAGTGATGAGGTCCATCCTGCACTGTATGGGGGATAGTGATGAGGTCCATCCTGTACTGTATGGGGCTCATGATGAGGTCCATCCTGCACTGTATAGGGTTAGTGATGAGGTCCATCCTGTGCTGTATGGGGGCTAGTGATGAGGTCCATCCTGCACTGTATGGAAAAGCCCACTGGGCAGTGCGGCATGTACTAATCCTAATTCAGACCAGCAACAGGAATTAAGGCACCACGGTTAAACACCTGGCTGTCTTTCTCATTGTGCACTTTTGGGGACTTTAGCATTTCTGTATGTCGTTTTCCTCATCTGCAGAGTGGGGACAAGTACTGATGGCCCATGACGGGGAAGGTGATCCGCACACACTCGGAGACTGGGAAAGTGCTGGGCCAGCTTTCCCCCAGAAAACCGGATTTGTAACCTGAGAGAATCACACTTCACCCATTCTTGCCTCTCAAGTGTCAACATTTTACATCTGCTCAGTGAGAGCTTCTGTAATCCCAGGTGGCCTCCGTCCTCAATGGGACTCTCACCAGAGCCGCCCCCAGGAAAGAAGCCCACGCCTCCATCTCCCTTTACCGTGGCCTCCTGCAGCCCTGGCTGTGGCGTCCTGAAAGTCCTGTGAAGGGCTTCAATCACTTGCCAGCTTTCGGCTTCTTCGTCTGAACTTGGTCCTTCATGCATGGCAGAAGTCTTCCTGCTTCTCCCTGAAGCCACCCTTCCCCCTCTGAGGCAAACAATATTATTTCTAGACCGGCCACCTTCCCGTCTGTGTGCCAGCAGCAGCAGCAGCAGCTAGGGGTGGCCAGGCTGGCACTGTCCTGGGGTGACCCGAGGGGGCAAATCCTCAGCTCTTGGGGCATCACAGGGAGTCACAGCCATTGGTCAGTGCTCCACCTCTCTAGGTCTTCCCTCCAGGTCACCTCCTCTGTGGTCCTCTCCTTGGAACAACCACCGCCCCGCCACATCCCTGACCCTACCCCTCCCTGTTGCCTGCGCATGTTTCCAAGCGCTCCTCGTTGCCTTGAAGTTTATTGTGTCGAATTGAATACACCACTCCTCACCTTACACCAGCAAATACCTGAGGCAGGATCTCATTGCTCCATTCTCAGTGACCTCACTCCATAACTAGACCGTTAAAATCTGCTCAGAGTCAGGACCGGATGCTGAGCAGCTATTTCCTCCAAATTAGAACATTCCCTCTTGGGACTGGGAAAGACTCAAAAAGTAAACAAATCAGTGTTCATAACGGCCCCTTCTCAAGGTTACAAAAGCAGCAAGAATTTCTCAGGAGAGGAGTCTCTCCCCTCACATCACAGAGCTGCCTTTAAGCTGGGCAGCAGGCTCTGAGAATGTGGCTTTCATGACTCACCACTTAGGCTGGGGTGGGCTTTTGAGGGCTGCAGCTGCCTCTGAGTCATCCATACCCCTGTAAGTGACCCCAATAACTCACTGTTTGACTACCCTAGAGGGGTGCAGTCAGGCTTGAGTCTGTTGCCAGTACACTATCCTGAGTGTTTACATCTCCCCCAGAAAAGTCATACAGCATCACATGAGGAGTTCAGTTCATTCTAGCTACTGCTCTTTCCATGACCACCTCTCCAGAAGAATCCACTTGTGCCTGCCACAGCAGGACAGGGTCATGACCTCGTTCTCCAGATTTTACATTCAACTGGCTCCAGGCCAGCAAGCCACTATATTAATTCCCAGGGCTGCCATGACAACAAGCTAGTTAGCTTAAAATATGCCCGTGTACATACGAAGAATTTTGGAAGTCACAAATCAGCAGGGCCTTGTTCCCTCCATAGGTACCAGGAAAGGATCCTCCTTTGCCTCTGGTGACCGTGGATATGTTCCTTGGCTATAGGACAAGGCCAGGCTATTGCCACCTTCACATGGCATCTTCTCCCTGTATGTGAGCTCCCTCTTTTCATAGGACATAAGTTACTGGGTTTTGGACCCACCCTAACTCCATACTACCTCATCTTTATTTTATTATATCTGCAAATGAGTCTGGATGGTCCTGACTTATAGTGGTTTGGTGTAGCAGTAGGGAACGCAGTGTGTGTGTTCAGTAGAAACTGCACTTCCAAGTTTGTTTGCCCCCCCCCACTTTCCCGGCTAGCAGTGTTGGGTGAGTGACTCGAGATGCTGGCCATCGTCTCACAGTCAACCTCTTGATCTTAGGGAGAAGCCATACACACACCACCGTGCACCATACCGCTCAGCTACAATGTTCCATAGGCTGAGTACTATTCAGCGCCTCCCTCTTTGCTGGTCCTAGGGATTAACCCTGTGGCTTCAAGCATGCAAGGCAAGCACTCCGCTGAGCGATATCCCAGCCCTCTTTTTACTTTTCGGAGACTTGGAAACAGGGCTTCACTAAGTTGCCTAGGGTTAACCTTAGACTGATTCTCTAAGTCCAGGCTGCCCTCCTGCCCCAGCCTCTCACGTAGCTAGAATTCTAGGCCTGTAACACCATGTCATCTCTTCAATGCATGCTTGACTCAAAACATTTTCAACTTATGATTGATTTATAGGGAGCCAATCCCATACATTAAGGAACATCTGTATTTGCAGACACTGCCACATTCCCAGGTCAGGGTGTGTGGTGGTTTGAATGAGACGATCCCAGTAGGCTCAGGTGTTGAAACACTTGGTCTCCAGTCGGTGCTGTGTGGGGAGCTTCTGGAACCTTCAGGAGGTCCAGCCCTGCTGGAGGAAATACTCCACCTGTGCCGCTGGAGGCTGACTTTGTGAGCTTACAGCCTTGCCCTGCTTCCTGTCTGGTTTCTCTGCTTCCTGTCTGTGACTGAGATGTTCTCTGTCAGCTTCCTCCTCTGGCTGCCTGCAGCTATGCTGTCCCATCCCCCACACTCCCATCCCCCCACCCCCGCCCCCGCCCCCCACCGTGGACTCTCCCTCTGGAACCATAAGCCAAATAATCTCTTTCTCCCGTATGAAGCTTTTGGTCATGATGCTCTGTCACAGCCACAGAAAAGTAACTGATACAGGGTGCTTAGGACTTCAGCTCTTCTCCATGAGGCCAGGAGACAAAATAGCCAGTAACCCAAACTGCAAAGACAGACAGATAAGGACAACAATTTGATGAAAATATTCACAAAATATGCATTTGTTTGAACTCCGCCATTTTACACTGTAAACAGGCGTGGGCCAGTGCCTGGGTTTAAATCTTCAAGATCAACTTCTTCACTTTTGTAGAACACGACAGTAACATCTCCATCATCGGAGAACTGGAAAGTAAGGGCAAACCAAATAAAACATGTCAGTTGCCACACAGCACCTACCCACAGCAAGTCCTTGCTCCACTAGACTTGGCTGTTATTAACTCACAGCAGTAGTGGGTAATGCTGACTTACTGCTTTGTTTTGTTTGGTTTTAGTTTTCTAGAATCAGAACTTTAAAAATACTTTAAATAAATCCCTTGTTATCAAACCCTAAGTCAAGCACTATGGTGTACTTGGGCAAATCTTAGCTGTCATTTTGTAAACTGTATCCTTTGCACCCGCAGCCCATAGCTTACGTTCTATGTTAAGGTCACATGATTATAAATATCACATTGCTGTGATAAGTTTCTGTAGTGGGCTATCAGAAAGTAATTTTGTCGGGTGGTGGTGGTGGCAGCGGCGGCAGCAGCAGCAGCAGCAGCGCGGCGCACACCTTTAATCCCAGCACTCAGGAGGCAGAGGCAGGTGAATCTCTGTGAGTTCGAGGCCAGCCTGGTCTACAGAGTGAGTTCCAGGACAGACACCAAAACTACACAGAGAAACCCTGTCTCAAAAAACCAAA